AGCCCGATGCGGGACTCGATCCAGGGACTCCAGGATCATGACCTGAGCCGAAGGCAGTCGCTTAACCAACTGAGCCACCCAGGCGCCCCGAGAAACTTCAGAAACATTCTTAACAATTTCTATAGGACATACTTCCAGAAATGGTCAGAAGGAAATAAGGTTTTGATATATTTTGTCAAACTGCCCTTCAAAGGCTATTTATAGTGCCTTTAATCATTGTCAACTTGATAATTAAAATAGTATTTTACTTTTTATTTGCATTTTTTTATTAAGGAAATTCACTTTTTTGGTCATGTTCATTATTCATCTGGGGGAATTTTTTTTAATGATTTGCCTGTCTTTGGCCCATTTTTTTATTGGAGCTTTTAATTTTTCCTGTGGATCTGTAACAGTGATTCTCAAACTTTTTGGTCTCAGGAAAGCTTTATGTATTTTTAAAATTATTAAAGCTCTCAAAGGGATTTTGTTTATGTAGACTGCTGCTGTGGCAAACTTGAGGGAAAAGAACACAATTTCAATTAATGGACCCCTTACTTCATAACATATAAAAATCAGTTCCAACTGGATTACAGACTTAAATGTGAAAGATAAACATCTTTTAGGATATAAGAAAATATCATCATACCTTTGAGATAGGAAAGGATTTATTAAACAAGACGCAAAAAGCACAAACTGAAAATAGATGATCAATAAACTTAACTTGGCTAAAATCAAGAACTTTTGTTCATCAAAGTATATATTAAGAGATTAGGAATATAAATCACAAATTGGGAGAGCATATTTGTAACACATTAAACCAACAAAGGATTTGTATCCAAAATATATAAATTAAACCTATAAATCAATAAGTGAAAGACAAATAATCCAACAGAAAAATGGATAAAATACCTGAATAGTCACTTTGCAGAAGAGAAATCCAAGATGACCAATAAACATATTAAAGGATGCTCAACCTCATTAGTAACCAGTAATACAAACTAAAACCACAGTAAGATACTATTTTAACATCCACCCAATTAGCAAAAAGAAGTCCTTCAATACTAAGTGTTGGTGAAGATATGGAAGAAGTGGAATACCTGTATACCACAGGAAATGGAGGATTTATAATTTAGAACAACAGTTTGGAAAACACTTCATATCTACTTCAGTTGACACTGTGTTCAGCCTATGCCCCACCAACTCCACTCCAATAAATAGCAGGGCTTCTCAAACTTACCTATGGTGATGGAGCAGTTTTAAAAATTTCTAATCATTTGTAGATACTTAAATAAAACAATAAAAATATTTAGGAAACATCACGTTACTATAAATGTTTCTAAATGCTTCTGTTCAACTTATATGGTCATGGATTAGTAACTAACAGTTTATGGTCTAAAACAGGACTTCAGACAACTCTTTGAATAGAACTGCTCCAGAGTAGAGCTTCGTAAATGCAGTATGCTCCAGTGCACTCACGTGGCACAAATATTAAGTGTATGCCAAGATAGTAATCCACTAAGACTTTGCAGCAGTTGGGCAAGATACTATAAAGAACTCCCAAGCCAGTCACCCTCAGCTGTACGCAGCCTTGTCCTTT